TAACCTGGTCTTCTCTGTTGCCAGCATCTCCACCCTCTACAAAGTGGGTGGTCCTTTTCCTCATCCTACCTCGTGGAGAAGATAACTGGAAGGACCACAGGAAGTTATTTGCTTCCTGGCAGTGTTGTTCTCCAGCAGTATGGATCTCACCAGTCAGATCCTCCATGCAGACAATGTTGCATTCACAGGATGAGGGGCAGTCCCAGAGCTATCTGTCAAGGCAATTCGCTTCTTCCTGATTTTGCCAGAGCACACTTCTAAGTTAGTTCTCTACTGACTTCAGATTCAGGTACCCTGTGCAGTAGATGGGTCCACAGTCCTCAGCGTGTTAACTGATATTTTACTGAGCTCAACAAAGGTGCCTCTGGAGACCTGGCAGAGGCAAAGGAGCTACAGCACCTTTCTGACTCGGGGCTCACACCACTGAGACTTCTGATCCTGAGGACAAGTGCCAGTTTGGGTCCTGCAGGTGCATGGCAGTCGCCGGCTTTTCTCGCCATCCTCACTCTCCAAAAGGCAGTTTTGTACCTCCACCTGTATTCCTTGTGAGAGGCGTAGCTTTTTCTTAGGTGAGCTTCCTCCTTGCCTTTCGAAGCTTCTTTGGGCACACTTCTTTCTCTGTGAATTTCCTCCAGTTTAATGAGGATTTCTGGCACAGCAGGAACCTTCTTCTCTTCGACACCCTCCGTGCTGCCAGCAGGAAAAGAGGCCACATCGCTTGTTTCTGTTTAATCTTTGTTTTTCCCTTCTTTCTGCTAACTTTAGTCTTAGATTTTTTTCTAATTACTTGAAGCTTAGTAATTAAGTAATTCTAATAACTTGAAGCTTAGCTGTTTGTTTCATAATTTTCTTTTTTTTTACAACGCAAGCCTCTATCACTACAATGGACTGAATGTTAATGTCTCAGCCAAATCCATTTGTTGAAAATACTAGTGCCCAAGCTGATGTTATGAGCAGATGGGCCTTCAGATGGAGATTAGACTACTTTGTGATCATGACTCTTTCTTTCTTTCTTTCTACCTTTCTTTCTTTTTTTAAAGATTTATTTGTTTTTATGAAAGACACAGTTACAGAGAGGCAGAGAGAGAGGCAGAGAGAGAGAGAGAGAGAGAGAACCTTCTATCCACTGGTTCACTCCCCAGATGGCTGAAATGGCCAGAGCTGTGCTGATCCAAACCCAGGAGCCAGGAGCTTCTTCTGGGTCTCCCATGCAAGTGCTGTGGCTCATGGACTTAGATCATTCTCCAATGCTTTCCCAGACCATAGCAGAGAGCTGGATTGGAAAGGGAGTAGCCAGGTCTCAAACTGCCACCCATACAGGATGCCAGCACTGCAAGCAGCGGCTTTACCTGCTACACCACAGCACCGGCTGCATGACTTTTTCTTGATGAGCCCAAAGTTACAATATTGACCTTGCAGCTCCCAAATTTCATAAATAAAAATTAGAGATATTTGCTTTTAACATTAAATTTGCATTCTTGATTTTATTGTAACTCTATCTAATTCCACAAAAGAAACCATCGTCACTTATTTGGCAAAATGCTTGCAAATAGTTTTTCTTGGGAGAACCACAGGGAAATAGCGTTGCTCAGCTGAGAGCCCTCTGTGGTCCTTCACTGAGATGGCTGTATAATCAAGGAGATCCTCTCTCCAAGCAGCTGTAACGACCAGGCAACAGATTTTAGTGCCTCCTGTGCCCTTTTTGTTTTAAATTTCAGGCTTAATTCAGATACATTTTGCATGACAAATACTGGACCTTCTTTTGCTACACATCTGTGTCTCCCCAAGCAGAGGTAGACCTATGAGTCACGTGTGAGATCTTCGTTGTCTGCCTCTCTCAGTATGCTCCAGCATCATAAGTGATCCAATATCAGTTTTAGCCGCAATCACACCTTGATTCTGATGCCTGCTGGCAGTGGATTTGGACAAGTAGTTCAGCTGTTTCTCAGTGTGTGATACTTTATTTCTAAGTAGTAAACAATACTCATTTTTGATATTACTGTCATCTTTCTCTATGGATGGTCTTCAGAAAGTTCATGGGAGAAACTCTGCATGGATTTTGAAACTTTTTGCACCAAAATTTCTGAATTCCATTTTTCATGAACTTTTTCAAGTTCCCTCACATATTGTTGTTATCGCTACAAAAGATGATAAGTCAAATATAAACCCAAATAGGAAATGATACTTAACACCAAACCAGGTAGGAGAGTAGGCAGTGTGGCGCAGCAGGTTAAGCCACCACTTGGGAGGCCTGAGGTCAAGTCCCTCCTCTGCTTCTGACCCAGCCTCCTGCTACTGCATGTCCTGGGAGACTGCAGGTGAAGATTTAAGGACTTGGGTTCCTGCTAGCCACATTGGCAATCTGGACTGAGATACAGGCTCCAGACTTTGCATTGCCTGGGCCCATCCCTGACTGTTGCAAATATTTGGGCAGTGACTCAGTGAATGAAATTGTGCGCTCTTTCCTCTCCCTCCCCCTCTCCCCCTATCCCCCTCTCTCCCACTCCTCCTCTTCGCCTCTCCATCCCTCCTCACTTCCAACTAAGTAAATACAAACTTTGAAAACAGTTACTAAAACTTAATGAAAAAAAGCAAGAAACTGGACCGGGAGTTCACTTTTAGCTTGCTGTCATTTCTGCTTAGCTGTTTCTAACAAAACTGCTGAAATGATGCACTCCTTTTTCTGCATTCTAACATTGGCAAATGTGTTGTTTGATCAGCACAGGTGTGGAAATGAGGCTCAGACCGCATCAGCTCCCTGCAGTGTTGCCTTTACTGAACTCTGCATAGCTTGGATCTCGTCAGCCTGTATGGCAAGAAAGCCCTGGGAAAATTGGCCAAGAGCCTACTGAGAGAGCTTTCAGGAGGGAATGCTCTCTGGCTTCGGAATCCGGCATACCTCTCCCTTCCCAGGAGTAGAAAGGAGCCAGACTCTAAGTTACAGACTACATCACTGATCTGTCTCTCTCCTCAGAGCATTTCCCACCTGAAACAATGGCATGGGTCCCTCTCTCTGCTCCTCAGGCCTCTGTCCTGTCTGTATTTTATGTCTCACCTGGTAGCTTTTGCACAGTGTATCCCAGGTGCCGGGCACTGTCCCCTCTTAGATCTGCCTTCAACCAAATACATCAGGTAGCCCTCTCTCTCTAGACCCTGTCTTCAGACTCTAGTAACCTGCCTCTCCACTTGCCTGTTCTCGCCTGAAGACAACCACAGCACCCAGGGCTTGCCATGGAGGTCAACAGGTTGTCTTGTGGGCATCCTGCCCACAGCTTTGAAAATGTCCTCCTCGTTAAAGTATCCTGGAACAACCCAGGCTGAGGTTGTGCTGAGCCTCCTGCCAGGACCCTGATAGTAATCGCTGATACTCACTTTTTTAAAGAAGAGATTGATTGGTTGGTTGGTTGGTTTATTCATATATTTGAAGGGCAGAGTTACAGAGAGAGAAAGAGACAGAGAGATCTTCTAACAGCTAGTCTAGTCATCAGACGTCTGCAACAACCAAGGCTGGGCAAGGCTGACACTGGGAGCCTGGGATGCCATCCAGGTTTCCCATGTGGATGGCAGGGCCAAGTACACTGCTTTCCCAGGAGCATGAGTGCGGCCAGTGCTGGGACAGAGAGACGAAGCCTCAGCCTGCAGTGCTGGCATCCCAAGTTGGTGCTTGTTCGAGTCCCAGATGCTCCACTTCTGGTCTGGCTCTGTGCTGGTGCACCAGGGAGAGCAGTGGAGATGGGCCAAGAGCTTGGCCCTGCACCCTCGTGGAGACCTAGAAGAAGTTTCTTGCTCCTGGCTTCAGATTACCCCAATCTGGTTGTTGTGTCCATTTGGAGAGTGAACCAGCAGATGGAACACCTTTCTCTCTGTCTCTGCTTCTCTCTTTCTGTAACTCTGCCTTTTGAATAAGTAAGTAAATCTTTGAAAAAATAAATAATAAATAAATCTTAAAAAAAAAAAACACTGATCAAGTGTGGGCACTTGGTGGAGAATGCTGTGCAGGTCAATGGCCTCTGGAGCAGCAAGCTAAGCTGGGGTTCAAAGAGCAGATCCAACCACAGTGTCCATCGGCCCCCTAAAACTATGACCAGCCCTTCTGCACCAGGGATGTGCCACTAAGTCCTGTAAGTAAGAGAGACAAAGAAATGCGAGAATGACAAGGTTTATGAAGAGGAATGATGCCAGCTTTAATGACGTCAGAGGTGGGAAAGACACTGGTTTGGACATGCAGGGCACTTTGCAGTGGAAGGCACAATTTCAATCTGTGGTTCTGAGAACCTGACTTAATGCTTTCATGCACAACAACAGAATTCCTCCCCGGAGAAATGGCACATTATGGTTTGTGCTAGCGAGATGAGTGCTTTTCATCATGCATCATTTTTTCATCATGCATCATTTTTTAAGACTTACTTATTTGTTTGAAAGGCAGAGTTACTGCAAGGGAGAGGCAGAAAGAGAGAGAGAGAGAGAGAGAGAGAGAGAGAGAGAGAGAATCTTCCATCAGCTGGTTCACTCCCCAAATGGCCGCAATGGCAAGGGCTGGGCCAGACTGAAGCCAAGAACCAGGAGCTTCCTCAGGCCTCCCACGTGGGTGCAGGGGCTCAAGCACTTGATACATCTTCTGCTGCTTTCCCAGGTACATTATTAGGGAGCTGGATTGAACATGGAGCAGCCAGGTCTCAAATCAGCACCCAAATGGGATGACAGTGCTGCCGACAGTGGCTTTCCCTGCCACGCCATGGCGCAGGACCCCATCACGATTCTTAAGGAATTTGTAACACTGAAACACAGAAGAAAATATTCATCTAAATCTATCAGCTAGGGGCGGTGAGAAGAGGACGCCCCCACCCCCCAGTTCTTAGGGCCACCTGAGAGAGAGCCTGCTGGATCTGCTGGAAGCTTTTTCCCACACTGAGTGTCGAAAGGCATGACAGAGTCTCTCAGCATTTTACCCAGGACTGTCTTTGTTTCCTCGGCAACTATCTTGAGGCAGCGTCTATGTTTCATCTGTCTAAAGTATGGAATGACACAGCTGCGTAAGCATGGGCACAAGCTAAGACAGAAGAAGAACATCTTCGTGACTACAAAGGTCATGGCCCAGAGTTTCCAGTCCCTCCAGCGGACACGCTGCACATCTTGGGACCTCATGACGCTCCTGTAGTTTGTGAGCGTGCTCCTCTTTTTTTTTTTTTATATCTTTTATTTAATGAATATAAATTTCCAAAGTACGACTCATGTGTTACAATGGCTTCCCCCCCCATACCGTCCCTCCCACCCACAACCCTCCCCTTTCCCACTCCCTCTCCTCTTCCATTCACATCAACATTCATTTTCGATTATCTTAATATACAGAAGATCAGCTTAGTATACCTTAAGTAAGTATTTCAACAGTTTGCTCCTACACAGAAACATAAAGTGAAAAATAATAGATGATTTTTTTTAAATGATGATGAAATCAGATCAGACCTATTGTCATGTTTAATTCCAGTGAGAGTCAAGTTGGGAATTGATGATTTCTTTCTTTTTTTTTTTTTTTTTTTTTACAGAAGATCAGTTTAGTGTACATTAAATAAAGATTTCAGTCGTTTGCACCCCCATAGAAACACAAAGTGAAATATACTGTTTGAGTACTCGTTATACCCCCTGAGAGCTTCAACGTTTACACCAAACACTGATCGGTAGGCTTCCAGACACTCGGCCAAGTCATCTGCATACCAGAAGCCCAGGAAGCCTTGCAGAGGTTGTAGAGTAATTTTCCGCTGCATGGACGCCACTCTGTGGCTGATGATCTTCTCGCAGGCATGCATGAGGTGTTGAAGAGGGCCATCGCATCTGACTCGGGACAGGTCCCTTTGCAATGTGTCTCTGAGACCTGGGAAGTCGTGTGAAGAAGGTTTAAGGCTGGAAACCAGGAATATGGGGGGTTCGCACACTCGCTGCTTCTGGAGACTTCTCAAGATGTGGTTTTTGATGGTCTGTTGTAGCTCACACCCTGGGAGGGTGCTTGAGCTGAGGTCCAGGTCCAGCTTGGTCCAGACAATGTAGAACTTCTTTCCCATGTCCGCGATGGTTTTGGCGAGCATCACGTGATTCATGCTGAACTGCTGGGACGCGATGATGATGAAGAGGTCGTACTGGCTGAACTGCATTTCCACATGATACTCCTGCAAGGTATCAGTAGCCACCCCTGTGCCAGGCAGGTCCCACAGCACAGCCTTTGGAAACAGGGGGGATGAATAGGCAGCACGGGTTTCCGTAGTTGTGACCACCCCCGTGGGTGCTGAGGCCTCCTCCTCGTGTCCTATCTCGCGAAGCGCATTGATGAAGGTGGACATGCCATTGCCAGATTCTCCTGTCACCGCGATGTTGACTGGCGTCTGGGACACCAGCTCCAGAGGCCGCCTCATGTCAGAGACCACCTTCAGCAAGTTCCCGTCTTCTAAGTCTTTCTCAATCTTCACAGCCTCATCCTTGGATAAAACACCCCAGTCCTGATGTGACATAACCGAGGTCAAGGATGCAGATAGTAGAGTGGGAGGGGACCGTGAGAACTCCGCCATATTGGTGTAACCTGCAGAAATAGAACCAGTGAGAATGAGGAGCACAACAGGGCAGTAGGATCACCTGACTTAGCATCCCCAAGCTCAGGGTTTATCTGCCAACAAAGACCATGGCAAAGACATTGGATTGCAAAGAAAGCCAGCAACAAGTGCTCACTCAGGCAGTGTGCACGTTTCTCCATGTGGATGTGAAGGATAGGGTCCTCGTGGAATGCTGGAGGCTGGCTGTGCCTCCATAGTACCACCATGGTTGGAAGAAGACTTGTGTTCTTCTACTGGATTTGGGTTTGGTTTGCTGTTGTTGTTCTAGATCCTTGAGGTGTGTGGAGAGTTCATTTATTTGGTGCCTTTCCAGTTTCTTGATGTAGACACCAATTGCTGTAAACCTTCCTCTTAACACTGCTTTTGCTGTATCCCACAAATTTTGATGTTCTATTGTCATTTTCATTTGTTTCTAGAAATTTTTTGATTTCTCATTTGATTTCTTCTATGACCCACTGCTCATTCAGAATCATGTTGTTCATTCTCCATGTGTTTGCATATGATGCAGCGATTCTTGAGTTGTTGATTTCCAGCTTCATTGCATTGTTGTCTGAGAGGATGCATGGTATGATTTCAATTTTTTTGAATTTACTGAGACTCCTCTTTTGGCATAGCATATGGTCAATCCTAGAGAAAGTTCTGTGCACCAGGGAGAAATATATGTACTCTGTGGTTGTGGGGTAGAAGGCTCTGTAGATATCTACTAGGTTTATTTGGTCTATAGTGTCAATTAGCTCTGTTGTTTCTTTGTTGATTTTCTGTCTGGTTGATCTGTCCAGTGCCAAAAGTGGGGTATCGCAGTCCCCTGTTACTATAGTATTTGAGTCGATATCTTTCTTTAAATCCCTTAATAGGCCGGCACCGCGGCTCACTAGGCTAATCCTCCGCCTAGCGGCGCCGGCACACCGGGTTCTAGTCCCGGTCAGGGCGCCGGATTCTTGGGCCCTGCACCCCATGGGAGACCAGGAAAAGCACCTGGCTCCTGGCTCCTGCCATCGGATCAGCGCGGTGCGCCGGCCGCAGTGCGCCGGCCGCGGCGGCCATTGGAGGGTGAACCAACGGCAAAGGAAGACCTTTCTCTCTGTCTCTCTCTCTCACTGTCCACTCTGCCTGTCAAAAAAATAAAAAAAAATCCCTTAATAATTCTTTCAAATAGCCAGGCACACTGTAATTAGGTATATATACTTTTATAATAGTCATATCTTCATGTTGAATTGATCCTTTAATCATTATATAGTGTCCTTATTTGTCTCTTTTAATAGTTTTTGTGTTAAAGTCTATTTTGTCTGATATTAGGATGGCCACACTGGCTCTTTTTTGCTTTCTGTTAGCATGGAATATCTATTTCGATCCTTTCACTTTTTTTTTTTTTTTTTACAGGCAGTGTTAGACAGTGAGAGAGATAGAAAAGTCTTCCTTTTCTGTTGGTTCACCCCCCAAATGGCCACTACAGCTGGTGTGCTGCACCGATCCGAAGCCAGGATCCAGGTGCATCCTCCTGGTCTCCCATGCGGGTGCAGGGCCCAAGCATTTGGGCCATCCTCCACTGCCTTCCCGGGCCACAAGAGAGAGCTGGACTGGAAGAGGAGCAACCGGGACAGAATCTGGCACCCCAACTGGGACTAGAACCCGGTGTACCGGCGCCGCAGGCGGAGGATTAGCCTAGTGAGCCATGGCACTGGCCTCCATCCTTTCACTTTCAGTCTGCATGCATCTTTGTTGGTAAGCTGTGTTTCTTGAAGGCAGCAGATAGATGGGTTTTCTTTTTTAACCTGTTCATCTAGTCTATGTCTTTTAATTGTGGAGTTGAGACCATATACATTCAGTCTGACTATTGTTTTTTTTTTTTTTTAGATTTTTTTTTATCTTTTATTTAATGAATATAAATTTCCAAAGTACGACTCATGTGTTACAATGGCTTCCCCCCCCATACCGTCCCTCCCACCCACAACCCTCCCCTTTGCCACTCCCTCTCCCCTTCCATTCACATCAAGATTCATTTTTTTTTATGTGGATATTTATTTTTTTATTTATTTATTTTTTTTAACTTTTATTTAATGAATATAAATTTCCAAAGTACGACTCATGTGTTACAATGGCTTCCCCCCCCATACCGTCCCTCCCACCCACAACCCTCCCCTTTCCCACTCCCTCTCCTCTTCCATTCACATCAAGGTTCATTTTCGATTATCTTAATATACAGAAGATCAGCTTAGTATACCTTAAGTAAGTATTTCAACAGTTTGCTCCCACACAGAAACATAAAGTGAAAAATAATAGATGATTTTTTTTAAATGATGATGAAATCAGATCAGACCTATTGTCATGTTTAATCCCAGTGAGAGTCAAGTTGGGAATTGATAATTTCTTTCTTTCTTTTTTTTTTTTTTTTTTTTTTTTTTTTTTACAGAAGATCAGTTTAGTGTACATTAAGTAAAGATTTCAGTCGTTTGCACCCCCATAGAAACACAAAGTGAAATATACTGTTTGAGTACTCGTTATAGCATTAAGCCTCAGTGTACAGCACGTTAAGGACAGAGATCCCACAGGAGGAGTAAGTGCACAGTGACTCCTGTTGTTGACTTTACCAATTGACACTCCTGTTTATGGCATCAGTAATCTCCCTATGCACCAGTTATGAGTTTCCAAGGCTATGGAAGCCCCTTGAGTTCTCCGACTCTTATCTTGTTTAGACACAGTCATAGTCAAAGTGGAGGTTCTCTCCTCCCTTCAGAGAAAGGCACCTCCCTCTTTGAAGACCTGTTCTTTCCACTGGGATCTCACTCACAGAGATCTTTTTGCCAGAGTGTCTTGGCTTTCCATGCCTGAAATACTCTCATGGGCTTTTCAGCCAGATCCGAATGCCTTTAGGGCTGATTCTGAGGCCAGAGTGCTATTTAGGACATCTGCCATTCTATGAGTCTGCTGAGTATCTCACTTCCCATGTTGGATCACTCTCCCCTTTATTTATTCTATCGGTTGGTGTTAGCAGATACTAGACTTGTTTATGTGCTCCCTTTGACTCTTAGTCCTTTCATTATGATCAATTGTGAACTGAAATTGATCACTTGGAGTAGTGAGATGGCATGGGCACATGCCACCTTGATGGGATTGAATTGGAATCCCCTGGTATGTTTCCAACTCTACCAATTGGGGCAAGTCAGCCCGAGCATGCCCCAAATTATACATCTCTTCCCTCTCTTATTCCCACTCTTATGTTTAACAGGGATCACATTTCAGTTAATTTTCAACACTTAAGAATAACTGTGTGATAATTACAGAATTAAACCAGTCATATTAAGTAGAACAGACAAAAAAAAATACTATGAGGGATAATGTATTAAGTTGTCCATTAGCAGTCAGGGCTATGCTGATCAAGTCACCATTTCTCATAGTGTCCATTTCACTTCAGGAGGTTTCCTTTTGGTGTTCAGTCAGTTGTCACCGATCAGGGAGAACATATGGTATTTGTCCCTTTGGGACTGGCTTACTTCACTCAGCATGATGTGTTCCAGATTCCTCCATTTTGTTGCAAATGACTGGATTTCGTTGTTTCTTACTGCGGTATAGTACTCTAAAGAATACATATCCCATAATTTCTTTATCCAGTCTACCGTTGATGGGCATTTAGGTTGGTTCCAGGTCTTGGCTATTGTGAATTGTGCTGCAATAAACATTAGGGTGCAGACCACTTTTTGTTTATCAATTTAAACTCCTTTGGGTAAATTCCAAGGAGTGGGATGGCTGGGTCGAATGGTAGGGTTATATTCAGGTTTCTGAGGAATCTCCAGACTGATTTCCATAGTGGCTTGACCAGTTTGCATTCCCACCAACAGTGGGTTAGTGTCCCATTTTTCCCCACATCCTCGCCAGCATCTGTTGTTGGTAGATTTCTGTATGTGAGCCATTCTAACCGGGGTGAGGTGAAACCTCATTGTGCTTTTGATTTGCATTTCCCTGATTGCTAGTGACCTTGAACATTTTTTCATGTGCCTGTTGGCCATTTGGATTTCCTCTTTTGAAAAATGTCTATTGAAGTCCTTGGCCCATCTCTTAAGTGGGTTGTTGGTTTTGTTTTTGTGGAGTTTCTTGATCTCTTTGTAGATTCTGGTTATTAACCCTTTATCTGTTGCATAGTTTGCAAATATTTTTTCCCATTCTGTTGGTTGTCTCTTCACTCTCCTGACTGTTTCTTTTGCAGTACAGAAACTTCTCAATTTGATGCAATCCCAATAGTTGATTTTGGCTTTGACTGTCTGTGCCTCCCGGGTCTTTTCCAGAAATTCTTTGCCTGTGCCAATATCTTGAAGGGTTTCTCCAATGTTCTCTAATAACTTAATGGTGTCAGGACGTAGATTTAGGTCTTTAATCCACGTTGAGTGGATTTTTGTGTAAGGTGTAAGGTAGGGGTCTTGCTTCATGCTTCTGCACGTGGAAATCCAGTTTTCCCAGCACCATTTATTGAATAGACTGTCCTTGCTCCAGGAATTAGTTTTAGATCCTTGATCAAATATAAGTTGGCTGTAGATGTTTGGATTGATTTCTGGTGTTTCAATTCTGTTCCATTGGTCTATCCATCTGTTTCTGTACCAGTACCATGCTGTTTTGATTACAACTGCCCTGTAGTATGTCCTGAAGTCTGGTATTGTGATGCCTCCGGCTTTGTTTTTGTTGTACAAGATTGCTTTAGCTATTCGAGGTCTCTTGTGCCTCCATATGAATTTCAGCATCATTTTTTCTAGATCTGCGAAGAATGTCTTTGGTATCTTGATTGGGATTGCATTGAATCTATAAATTGCTTTTGGGAGAATGGACATTTTGATGATGTTGATTCTTCCAATCCATGAGCATGGAAGATTTTTCCATTTTTTGGTATCCTCTTCTATTTCTTTCTTTAAGGTTTTGTAATTTTCATCGTAGAGATCTTTAACGTCCTTGGTTAAGTTTATTCCAAGGTATTTGATTGTTTTTGTAGCTATTGTGAATGGGATTGATCTTAGCAGCTCTTTCTCAGTCATGGCATTGCTTGTGTATACAAAGGCTGTTGATTTTTGTGCATTGATTTTATATCCTGCCACTTTGCCAAACTCCTCTATGAGTTCCAATAGTCTCTTAGTAGAGTTCTTTGGATCCTCTAAGTACAGAATCATATCGTCTGCAAAGAGGGATAGTTTGACTTCTTCCTTCTTGATTTGTATTCCTTTGATTTCTTTTTCTTGTCTGATGGCTCTGGCTAAAACTTCCAGAACTATGTTAAATAGCAGTGGTGAGAGTGGGCATCCCTGCCTGGTGCCAGATTTCAGTGGAAATGCTTCCAACTTTTCCCCATTCAATAGGATGCTGGCTGTGGGTTTTTTATAAATTGCTTTGATTATATTGAGGAATGTTCCTTCTATACCCAATTTGCTTAGAGTTTTCATCATGAAAGGGTGTTGAATTTTATCAAATGCTTTCTCTGCATCAATTGAGATAATCATATGGTTTTTCTTCTGCAGTCTGTTAATGTGGTGAATCACATTGATTGATTTGCGAATGTTGAACCATCCCTGCATACCAGGGATGAATCCCACTTGGTCTGGGTGGATGATTTTCCTGATGTGTTGTTGTATTCTATTGGCCAGAATTTTATTGAGGATTTTTGCGTCTATGTTCATCAGGGATATTGGTCTGTAATTTTCT